GTAAACTAATTTTTCTATATCCATCAGATCTGAATCAAATTATTTTTTTTAACGTAACATTTATTTCTGTAGTATGGCCCTACTTTTAATTATCGAGGGGGGTATGGTTCAGTGTTACTTTCAGACTTTTTTTCTCCGGGGGGGGGGGATATTATCGGGGGGGGGGACAACTTTTTCCCGGGGGGGGGGGGGGGTGGCGGACATTGGGAAATGTATGTTTTCTATATAAACTCCATTTCGTTCGAGGGGGGGGGGGGCGGTAGAATTTCTTCGGGGGGGGGGGGGCAGTAGAATTTCTTCGGGGGCGGGGGGGGGGGCGGTAGACTTTCTTCGGGGGGGGGGGCTAAGCCCTCCTCCCCCCTCCCCCCGAAGAGATGCCTGGAAGAAACTCTGGTATGGTTATATCAAGTCCAAATACAAAGATACAATACAAAGGGAAATAGTCTAAAATTATAATGTATTTCTGTGGTTACTCCTGATTAACTGATTAACTCAAATTCTTACGTTGATCTGATTAATTAAAATTCTTACTTTAACTCGATGAACTAAAATCCTTACGTATTTCTGTGGTTAATTAATTCAGATGAAACTTACGACTACTTATTATCTTATGCACGCCTTTCGCAAGGGATCGCCCACAGCGTTACTTTCAAACATCTTTGAGGTGGGGGGGGGGGGGGGCAAGTTTACAGACCGACATGTATTAAAAAATGACATTGCATTAAAAAAAAGTTTGTATTTCTTTTTCCAGCAGACACAACAACTGAAAGTGTAACAACCACAAGTTCCGACGCTTCTGTGTCGTCAACAGATTATTCGAGCACACAAAATGTCACCATTCTAGCAAACTACGCGTCGACAGAAAATACGACACATCCTGAAAGTTCTTCTACCGAGTCTACGACAGCAGGTTTTACCATGCCGACAACAAGCGTGACCACGACGGCAGCAGGTGTGACCACGACGACAACAAGCGTGACCACGCCGGCAACAAGCGTGACCACGCCGACGGCAGGTGTGACAACGACACCAACAAGCGTGACCACGCCGACAGCTACTCCAGAACCTACAACGACGACAGACTTAACTCCTGATACTACATCTACCTTAGAGTCTCAAAATACTACAGGGTCTCCAAATACAACAAACTCTACTACTGAGGCCGAGTCTACTACAGGGTCTCCAAATACAACAAACTCTACTACTGAGGCCGAGTCTACTACAGGGTCTCCAAATACAACAAACTCTACTACTGAGGCCGAGTCTACTACAGGGTCTCCAAATACAACAAACTCTACTACTGAGGCCGAGTCTACTACGGAGTTTCCAAATACAACAGACTCTACTATTGAGGCCGAGTCTACTACAGGGTCTCCAAATACAACAAACTCTACTACTGAGGCCGAGTCTACTACGGAGTTTCTAAATACAACAGACTCTCCGAATAATACATCTACTTCAATGTCTACAACTCAATCAGACTCTACTTCAGTGTCTGCAGAAACTGGTACCACTGCAGAATCTACTGTCAACACTATCACAACCGCGTCAGGTGTAACGACCACCACCGCCGAAACCTCCAAAGATACAACAATACCTGCTCCCCCCGACAAAAACCCACTCGAGGGAGTTCAATCCAGTGGCCTTTCCGAGAGTAGTAAAATCGCCATTGGAATTCTCGTCCCTTTGGCCATTATCTGCATTGCCGTAATGGGAGTGTGTGTGTATAGAAGGTACGTTTTAAAAAAATCAATATCGATTTTTATGTAGAGTATAGAAATAATTATTTGTTTTTTTTTAAAGCTTTTAATATTTTAAACGCTGTTTGCAGTAAAAGATGTATTGGAAACTGGGTCGCTTCGTCCAAATAAGGAGAAGGAGCAAGTCGTCAGTTGCCTGTATTTAAAAATGTGTTTAGCCGTCTTCTCTGTTTTATTCTTTTTGGCGTAGGCTGAAACTTTTGAAACACATTTTACATCTTCAGTAGGCGTAGGCCTACGCCTACATGATCACTAGCACTTTCACCACTTTACGTAATGTCTTGTTTGTGATTTATTGCGTCCCTTGTAATGTATACATTATAGTTACTTCCCTTGAATGTTTACCCTGTAGCTGATGTGTACCTGTGAGTTAGTTAACTTACTCAGCAAACGTTTAACTTACGATAATTAGCTGGAGCTGAAATGTTCTTAACAATAACATTTAAAAGTAAAAGGGCAGGCCTAAGGGTCATCCATAAATGACGTCACACTGGAAGGGTGTCTGGGGGTCCGTAATTTTGTGACGATGTGTGATGAGTGTGTGAGGTGTGAGTGGGGGGGGGGGGTATCAGATAGTGTGACATCAGACTTTTGCATTTTAAAAAAAAGTAATGTTAGAGAATGAATTTTAGCCGTTATTTCGCGTTTTAAAAAAACTGTTATAATAAATTATAATATTAAAATTAATCAAAATAGCCTATGTTCATTAAGCTCAGTCAATTTTTTAGAAACAAAAATCGATGTATAAAAAAATCGCGTTTAGTGACTATGTGTGATGGAGGGGAGGGGGTAAAATAGTTTTAAAACGTGACGTCATTTATGGATGACCCCCCCCCCCCTATGGAAAGTTAGCATGGGAAAAACGAATGTAAAATGCTAGTTTTTTTTTTTAGCGCATGCACGGTAGGCTCAACAGGTGTTTTCTAATGTCTTCCCCAGATACACATCATCGCATGGTAGCTTGAAGACATTCCTCAACCAGACGATCCGATACAAGGCTTACTCCAATCCAAGTTTTAAGGACGACGAGGTAGAGATGGAGATCCCTTCACGTTATCGCTAGCCAACCAAAGCTCACGTTCCTTCTCTTGCTAGGCTTAAGGTTACTATTTATGTGGGGCTTTTTTTTTCCTTCGCAATGTTGTTATTGACGCTTTAAGCGACCATACGGCGGTGAAGCAACACATTTAGCCCCCTAGCCTAATAAAAAACAACGACACACTATTTGAAGGGAGATCACTCTACTTTTTGTCGCCTTCTTGTTTATTGCTGAAAAGGAAAACAAAAACAGCACCGGGTAGTTTGATTGACACATCCCCACCCAAACTACGTCACTGTGTACTCTCCTTTGCATTTACACATTTCATTCAAGCATAGGCCTGGCGTATTTAATGTAATTGTAACCGTTAATATGACATTTAAACGGTGGCTAGATGACAAGAAAATTAAATGACTCATAGTGATTTAAAGGGATGTAATGAGATATAATTAAATAAATGAAATTAAAATCGTTAGGTTACTTTAAAAGAAAAGTTCGCTCTCTTGTGCCATCTAGCTCCGCCATCTTGTACAATGGTAATCCTAAGTGCTATTTATAAACCACCATAGCATGTTTGGACTTGGCATTAAGTTGTTTGGTTCACCGACCTAAACCATACTATTAAAAACTGTGCCCACACCCATACCACACGACACACCAGGCATATAGATCTAGGAGTCTTTCCCTATTTGTAAAACACCGTATCACCGGACGCGCAAACGGATCTTGTCAAGATAAGCCACTCCACTCAGAAAAGATTATAAAAAAAAAGAGTATACAAAACTTGTACTTTTATATTTTATTGGGTGAAATTGGGATAAATCATTAATAATTGGCATGAAAAGGCTTATAGGGATTTTGTTCTTATGGCGTGCTTTTAAATATTAAAATGTCTAGAAATCAAACATGTCACAAGTGGCGCGGTTAACTTTTCGCCCGTGTACTTTTTACTTTAGTGACGGGGTTTATCTGGTCCAGACCCGCGCTAACTTTTAATTTTCTGTCCCCTCACAGTATATTTTGTATCTACCATTGTCCCCTCGTTTGTTTGTATTGCTTCACTAGCTGTGCTGATCAAGTATTATACACCTAAGGGAGGGAATTCTTTTTTTCTATTAGGGTGTCGTCCATAAATGACGTTAGGACCTACCTATTTGGTGATTTAAAACCTCCTCCATCCTATTGTTTCGCATCTTCATATTATTTCAGATGAGCACCTTATTTGGCCTTATTATCCTGCCCCCCCCCCCCTATGCTTCTTGTTGAATCATATAGTCCTATTTGTTCCCTTATAATAATTGAACCTATGAACTGCTCATGTTTACTGATATTGAAATTAATGTGAATTACCTTTTCCCTAAAAAAAACTGCACATTTTTTTTTAAAGTGATCCCTATTTTTGAACCCCTCTCTACTTTTCCTCGTCACACATCGTCACAAAAGTTCGACCCCCCCCCTCCCTTCCCAGTTTTACGACGTCATTTATGGACGACTGCTTGAATTCCATTTTTTTGCGAATATTGATTAACTCACTGTGGTATATGGTAGCGTTGCCTATACATTTTCTTTATATTTGTTTGCATTTGTTTTACACTATTTTATTTCACTTGAAGGTAAAAAAATATTCTAATATAAAGCATTCCAGCCTTATTAAACATTCCATTTTTACTGAAAACCAATCAGTCACATGTAGAGGGACCATTTGTCTATGAATCAATGTACTGTGATATTGTTTTAAAGAGAGTGGTTGAACTGCTGATTAAAAGGTCATTCAAAACATTTTACATACAGGTATTTTTGTACAGCTAGTAATTTTTCAACTACCAAACAATTTAAGTTAAAGTTTAAAGTAAATATTTTTGTTGGTCTGATATTTGATATTTCTTTTGTTTCCTGCAATCTTACCAATATCCTTCCTCATACTATGTAAATTCTATGTTTTCATAACTTTATTTGAAACCAGTATTTTTTGTTAAAACTTGCTAATCAAAAAAAATAATAATAATAAAAAATAATAATGACTGAAATCAAAATCTTTCAATGAAGATTTATTATATACTGATGAAAAATTTACTTAATTATAGAATTTTTATAAAAATTCATTAAAACTTTGTAGGAAAAAATAGATTAAGTTAATAAAGATATAGTTTATTGTTTTATAAAAAAAATATCAAAATAGACCGACAGCAAATATTTTTATTCTAGAAGTCTATGTTAAACTACTTAAATCGGCTTGCCGACCAGCTTTAGCTAGATAGCTCTATTTATTATTTAAAAAATATCTATTTAGGTTTCATTACTAAAAATATTTTGGGTTTAAAAATCGGGAATTTTTAAAAATTCAAATTAATAACATGAAGTTGGGATCGTCCAGATAACACAAAAATAACGCAAAATCAGAAAAATTGTATCCACCCCTTACCCCATGTAAAGTTTGAATAGCCTAAATCTCTCATGTAACGTTTCAATAGCCTACATTCTCATGTCACATTACTAGGAACCAGTCCTCCTCTACGAACCACCCCAAATCTAAAATAGATCAATTATTTATTTATTTAATAAATACAACACAGAACTCACGATATAACTAAATGATAAACCTAGCCGTCAGTTTGCGTTATTTAATATTGCACGATCCCGTACTATGCATCATAACCCATAGTGAGAAAAAACAGCTACTGTAAACATCATTCATCTAACTTCTTGAAATCATTGTTGTCTCTGATTGTACATGATACTAATTTCAAATTATTACTTTTGCATTTTTAAAATGTATTTATGTTTAATGATAAATATTAAGATTATGTCAAATATATTTACGTTTATAAACAAGATTTGTTAGAAATATATTTTTATGATATACTTGCAGTATTGTTATTATACATCATGGACATAAACGTGTAAAAATTCTTTAGTTGTCATGAAAATAACTTAGGGGAATTTCTATTAAAAATCTCTACAATTATTTTGCTTTACTTGAAAAAATAATAATAATGAAACTATTTCAACAATAATTTTCGATTTTGGCTCAGAAGGACCAAATCATAATGGGACGAAACGACCCAGAAGAATCTCGAATAGGAGACTAATAGCACTATTGTAAAACAATGTGTTGTGTTATTAAAACAAGTGATTATAAAATTTAAAAAGTAATAGTGGTTTTATTTCCTTTATTACTTTGGTGCATATTCGATGTATTTGTTTTCATTGCTATTTTAGGTAACTAAAACGAACTTTGGATAAAATAAGAAATTTAGTTTATTTGTCATCGCCACATAGATCTAGATCTAGGGGGTCAACCATAAATGACGTCACGCTTTTTTTTGACGATTTTACCCCCCCCCTCCCCCGTCATAAAAACCAGACCCCCCTAAAATGACGTCACACCTCAGCCTACAACCCCCTCAAAATTGCAGTTGAATTTTTAAAAAACATCGATATTTTTTTCCAAAATCTTGTCTGAATTCTGTCAAAATCAATTAAATCTGTTAAATCAATTCCTATTACAATATTAGAACAGATTTCTAAAACGCAAATAACGTCTAAAATTCGTTTTCTAACATTGCTTTTTTATAATGCAAAAGTGTGACATCGTACCATCTGACCCCCCCCCCCCCTTCATCACACACCGTCACAAAATTACGGACCCCCCTCCCCCCTACGAGCGTGACGTCATTTATGGTAAATTATGGACGACCACTAGTTGCGAAAATAAATCATAGACATGCAACCGATTTGAGCACGCGGCACCAATAAGTGTACTTCGTTAAAACCAGCTTTTTGTTTTAATGCCACAAATCAAAATATTTACTGTACTGTACAAAGATGTTTGCATTTCAAATGTATACGTAGGCCCCTATTTGAAAATGTGAACAGGAATGTAGCACACACAATATTTAAAGTTTTCTGCATTTGCTAATTTTATTTAAAAAGTTCTTTAAATAATTTTTTCGTCCATGTTAGCAACCGGGTCAATGCTGTTATGTTTTAAAATGTTATGTAATAAAATGTATGCCTACATACGTGGAGATGTTGAAAATAGTAACAGTTATTTTTTTAACTTCAAATACTATAATTTTAAAATTTGTAGGCGAATTTTAAAATTTGTAGGCGAATATCCATGATGTTTCGAATGCATTCTTAGACGAATCAATTTAGAAAAACAAACTTGGTCGGTATTTAATAAATTCGCCAAAACAACCATTATTCCCATGAAAATTCTTTTCTAAGATGTTCGAGACTGGAAGATTATACCTTTGTGGCGACGAAAAAATATGTTTTTAGTTTTTAAAAATTCTGCTCAGCAATCTAAGAATAACAAATACATTAAAATTGTACAAAAGCAATTTTAAAAAAATAAAATCCCCCCAATGGTTATTGTCATATGTTTCAATAACAGAGCGAAAAAAAAAATTAAGTCCTCTTTGAGAGCTTGACTTAAGTTGCTGGAAATTATGGAAGGCAGATCTAGATCTATATAAAAGAGATTTTGAGCAGAAAAAGTTTGAAAAAAAAAAACCTCAGTATAAAAACTTTCTTAGATACATGGGAGGGGAGGGGGGGGGTGCAGTATATGGTGTCATACTGTTTTTTATATTTAATAACAATCATCTCCATAAAGAATAACCTAATGTATGTATATACATTACTAGCATTATATGTTCATACGCAAACATGCTTTTTGAAATGGTAGACCTTATTATAGTATATTAGAAGTCAACTTTCAGATAATTCTGATAATTTTGTTTCATCGTCCAAATAGAGGATAGTACATGTATAAATGAAGGGGTGGCGTCGTCCAAAATGGAAGCATGTGCCTAGGGGATTGGCCGGGGGGGGGGGATTACATTACTTTATAATTGTGTCATGTATGGATTAAGTCTATGAGAAACATGTGGTGTATGTGTATGCGGATGTGTTGAAAAATCTCGAAACAAATCTCTGGCCTGGATGTTTGTTTAGAACGGATATGACTATGAGCAACAACACCACCTTCAACAACGAGCGATATGGTTGTTTTTTTTACTCTTTGGTAATAAAAATGTAGTCCATAATATAACATTCTTAAGAATTTGTTATTCTTTTTGATAAGTTATAAAATTATCATAATCATTATCGTATGTTTGTTTTCAGTCAGAACTTGTGAAGTATGAGACTATAGGCCCATAGTAAACAAACAAAAGAGATTTCAAGACCTTATGTTATTTATCATGAATTTTTGTTTCGTTAATCTGAGCTTATTGTTTTTAAAGTTATTTGCTTTGATTGAATGTATGATCTGATTTTTATGACAAACGGTGAGTTATGTTTCTTGCTTGTTGGTATAGATGGGCAAGTACTAGATGTATTTGTTAATTGAGAAAACATTAAGTTTCCTCTTAAAAATTAATATCAGTGGCGGGCCCTGGATCTTCAGGTCCTTTTGAATGTGTTAAACAGGGCTTGTTTATTTCTTTCCGACTTTTTTTCTCCAGGTGTGGGGTGCATCATTTGAAACTTCCATTGAGGGCGCGTTTAAAATTTCAGGAGTGGGCAGTGTTTCTTCCAGACTTTTTTCTCCGGGGGGGGGGGGGGGGGGGGGCACTTGAAATTTTCTGGGGGGGGGGGGCGGTAGACTTTCTTCGGGGGGGGGGGGCGGACACTGTTAAAAAAGATGCCTGGAAGAAACTCTGGGAGTGGGGAGGGGGGGGCATGGTTGAAAGAAACATATTAAGCTTTAATCTTCTCCATGCTAACAGCAATAGCTGATGGTGATCATAAAACGAGCTCATTTTTATAAAAACGAATAGATTTTTCGGACTGTAGAGGTATTACCAGGTGCAATGTTACAGGAAAAAAATAACATCCAAACGTACGCATCATCATCTTGATAGTCTGTTTATACTATCTGGGGGACGGTGTGGTCGAGTGAAAGAACTCATGGTTGTTAGGGGTCGTCTTTAAATAACGTCTCACGTCTAGGGGGTAGTTTTCGTTATTTCGCAGTTTAGAAAGCTGTTTTTGTAAATTGTAACAGAAATTGATTCATTTATCCTATAGTGGCCGAGCTCGGTCAATATTTTTTAAAAAGATTAAGCTGCAATTTTGAGGGGGGGGGGGTGCGGTTGTGGGCTTAGATGTGACGGCATTTTAGTGGGGGGGGGGGGTCTGATTTTTTTGTGACGGTGCGGAAAGGGGAAGGTAAAAATCGTCAAAAAAAAAACACGTGACGTTATTTATGGACGACCCCCCCCCCCCATCCGATATGCCACCGGGCAGACAAGGCTCATTAGCTGCGGACACTGACACCTCTAGGGCAGACTACTCCGAATTCAAACCGAAGTGAAGCCGAAAATTTCAAGTGCCCCCTCCCCCCCGGAGAAAAAAGTCTGGAAGAAATACTGATCTTATGCCTTGGTAATCGCCCTTAGAATTTCACTTCTCTGTGTGCATCAAATGTCTCCCGAAGCAAAAATGGGCCATATATTTATTAAACTTAAATTATATGATTTTCTGAAAGAGATGCATTTAAACAAATATTTATAAACGTGTATTTTTTCACAATACAATTTTTACAACTGTTTATGCTTGTGATAATTGTAGATCTAAAATGTATTTTGATTGTAATGTATATCGAAATACTTTCAACACTTGTTTCCATTGTTTTGAACTTAAAAAGTTCTGTAGCCTACTGTTATGTTAATAATGTTTTTTAAAATTGTTTTCGTTAAAATATGTCATCTATACCTGTGTTCAAAATATTAAAAAAATATTTTAAACAAAAAGCGTATTAATTGTGAGTGTGTGTGTCGTATGATTTGAGCGCTGATAACTTACTACTGAACTTTATTTTTTTTATTTCAAACACACGTTAAGCTTATTTTTTCAAATACTGCAATATTGGCATGTTTATAGTAGTCAAAGGTGACTCACAGCGGTCGTGTATGACTGATATTTTTTTCTTACTCACGCAGTTATGTGGCAGATGCAGTTAACATGTTTCAATGACCTCGGTATATTGAAGGATAATGTGGTCAGTATATATATATATATATATATATATATATATATATATATATATATATATATATATATACCCTATAGTTATATAGGCACATATAAAGCCTAAACGACAATTTATCGTGATTGGAACTTTAACGTTAAATATTAATAACCATCGTTGTCATATCGATTTTAAAAAAAGTCACACGTTGTTGGATTTGTATAAAAAAATATAAATCGACCTTCAAAAGTTTGTTTGGTCGATAGTGGGGATAGCGTTCTTAAGTTGTCAAATACTGGCCATGTATCAGTGACTATCTGATTGTAATGATAAATGTTAATCTCGTTTTAGGCCTACATTTATTATAAAGCCTGCTCTGCGCGAGCTTATGTCTCATGAATTAGCTAAAGGGGTGGCTACACTCGTGCTATACCATTGGCACACAGACCGCACTGCAGTAGCGTAGCAAGGGGGGGGGGGGCGGGGGGGACATATGTCCCCGGGCGCCGACCTTAGGGGGCGCCAAAATGGGTTGGAAAAATAAATTGAAAGGTTGAGGGGGTGGAAATCGAAAGTTTGAGGGGGGGGGGGTGCAAATCGAAATCTCGAGGGGGGGGGGTGCAAATCGAAAAGTTTGTCCCCGGGCGCCGGGAAGGGTCGCTACGCCTCTGCCGCTCTGTGTTCAACCAACATTTTGTTACAATTAACTGACTATAATGTGTTCAACATTAAGCTACAAGGAATTCAAATAGTCTTACAATGCGAAGTTAGCCAACCGTGATGGTAAGGCAAGGTTATATTTTCAAGAACAAGTGGCCTGTTTTAGCTTGAAAGGACAAGGTCGTTAATGGTCTACCCAATCATGTGACATCAAGAGAAGATAACGCTATTTTTAACAAACCTTGAATGTCTATCAGCTGCCTATCTTTTGTACCCAAATTAACCCCGTCTTTTACCTTTATATCTCCTATGGCTTGACCTTAGGAGATCTGACTTTGGCCATGCACTTCATTAGCCTACTTTGTTAGAATAAAAATAATTTTTAAAGAGCTTTAAAGTCGAAACAGTTAAATACTACGCAGAAGCAATCTTAATTATTTTTTAGCGCAATTTCCATTCTGGAGAATTGCGTTTATTAACCCGTCATTTCTGGATGTATGAATGTATGAATGAATGGATGGATGTGTGTCCGCAGCTTTAAGTCGTATCTCCTCCTCAACGAAGCAATATCGAGGACTAGTTCCAAAAGCAATTATGTGAAGCAAGTTACGAGGATGATTGTGGGCCAAAAAAATTCCGGGTTTCTTTCATGGATTTCCCAGAAAAACAAAAAAAAGCTCGAAAAAATGCAGTTTTTTGCCTAAATCTCGGCAACCAGACCACTTAGCGACTCGAAACATGTACCAATCGATTCCTGCCATAATTTAGAACAATATTGCCGAAGAAAGTTTTCAAAAATATCCTTTTGTTCGGTCACAAATTTTTTTTTGAATTAATTAAAATTTGGACCGAATTAGTAGGCATTTTTATCTAACCACACCACACGTGTCATCACGTTCAATAGCTGCGCCATCACGTTCAATGGCTGCGTCATCACGTTCAGTAGCTAGGCGCGCAATGGTTTTTAGTCATGTAACTCTATTGTAAATAAAACATGTATTTTAACCAATGGTTTTACTAACCCTGCTCTTGATTTACGCTACGACAGAGCTATTTTTAGATAACATAAGGAAATTGCGCTAAAATTGTCACTAGACTTTTTAATTACCTTGTTTTAAATTAGGCCTATAACAGCAACAACAAAAACCAATGTATGTATGTGTAATCATTAATAAGAACAGCACATACATTAAAATGAAAAAAAAAATGAAGATGGTGCTAAGTGCCTGCACGGAGGTCCAAATAAGGCCAATAAATACCAAAGGGTGTGTAGATACAGTGGCGTCACTAGGTGGGGTGACACTCAGTGCGGTAACCCATGGTAGGTGTCACCTCCGCAATGGACCACATGAATGATGTACTAAAACTATCAGCAATTTGGTGTCATCCCACCATCAAAGATGGTGTCATCCTGTGCCAAATGATGTCTATAACTGCAATAAGCAATTAAGCTCACGGTTTAAAAAAAAAAACCAGACTTTGTCAATAAAATAAGATGTATTTCGTTTTGGTGTTACCCCTTCTGTGCTTGATGTCCGAACCCCCGCCAATTGACACTAATACGTAAACGATATGTTTATCTGTGTACAGATATTGTCTTTGTGGGGTCTTGCTGGTTGCAACATTTTCCAGCAATTATTTCAGTTTTATGCAAGTTACGTAGCGAGTAAACATGTATAAATAAGATACGCATATCCTCTGCAACATGCAGGGTTACCGTTTCGTCGATTCGGGTATTTGACCTTCGGAAACTTGTAGGCCTATTCGGATAATGCCCGATTCGAGCAAGTGTCCAATCGTGAAAATAGCCTACCGGTAAACGAAATTCAACCAAACGTCCTGCAATCTATGTAAATATTGTGCATGTTTTCTAACGGATGCCTACATATTGCTGATAATGCAACTTCCAGAGTTTCTACCAGGCATCTCTTCGGGGGGGGGGGGGGGGGGGGGCGTAGCCACCCCCCCCCCCCGAAATTTTTTTACCGCCCCCCCCCCCTCCGAACGAAATGAAATTTATATATTTATATATAGAAAATATGAAAGTCTACCGCCCCCCCCCCCCCTTCCCCGAAAATTTCAAGTGCCCCCCCCCCCCCCCGGAGAAAAAAGTCTGGAAGAAACACTGGCAACTTCATATGACATTTTTTTTTTCAGGTGCAGTCTCTTGTTAGCAATCGCAGACAACATGGTGTGTGAAAAATATTTCAACATCTAAATCTATAATGGGCCACGTTCGCACATCTCTCTCTCTCTCTCTCTCTCTCTCTGTCCGCAAAAATTTTTCGCCGGACATCACGTCAGAAACGGCAGCGATATATGGAGAACTTTATACGGACTTTTGTTGAAAATAATATGTTAGATGTTTTAAATGTATAACCACAATTTTATTTAAAGAAGAAAAATATAAAATAAAGGCGTATTCGAATGTAGAGAAACAGTATTATTTATGCAACCGGAAAAGCATTAATAGATGTGTAAAAGAACGCATAAAACTGTGACGACACTATTGCTTACTAATGACGTCATCTGCCGTGTTTAGAATAAAAAAGAAATGAACTATTTCATTCAAATTTGATTTAGATCTACGTACACTATGAAATGTATACAATACAATTTTTCCGGCCTAAACTCATAACATTTATTTATACAAAATCTTTGTTTGGAACTGGCTAATTTGGGATAAAAAAATTAATTTGAAAGAATAGGCATATTCGCGTTAGTTACGATTTTAAAATACGTCTTTCATTCTCTGTATTTTATAAGGTGCCTAAATAGCGGAGATGTTAGTGTACTATAAACCACGCAGGTGGTGCGGGTTCGAGACCCACCAAGTCAACTTGGTTAATGTTTTTTTTTTTATTTTGCTCGGACTAAACTTAAAAAAAAAATTCAATTAGGATTCTAGATCTAGATCTAGATTGTCGGGTGTCCGATAAGACACTTCCCGGCGCCGCAGGCGCTTCAAATTTGGCAGGATCTTGCCTTGGGGCGACAGAACACGGGGGCCGGTTGGCCGAAAAGTCTACGATGAGGGGGTCAAAAGTGACCTCGACTGACCGGTACCTTATATGAGCTATAAATCGAAAAAAAATGTCCACGGAGGAACCTCTTCATAACTCTTGAGGTCGTAGACCGACCCTCGGGCGAATTAATTAAGCATTCAAATTCTCAATGTTTTCGAAAGCCTAAGCGAAGCTGGGCAGCATGCCTAGTGTTTAATATAGTAGGTCAATGGGGAGGTAAAAATCGTTTTAAAAGGCGCGACGTTAATGTATAATTCCTAACCGCGCTGAGCTAAGTAACGATTTTAAAAAAGAACATATTCTGCAAAACACATAAATCATTAAAATTTAATGCGCTAATATCGATCTAGGCTATATTCAATATTCATATTCTTTTCCCAGATGGAATGAGTGATGTCTTCACTTTTTCATTATTTTTCTTTTTAAAAAAGGAAAAATGCCTACAATCTAAATAGGTCAATTGAATATTTAATAGTTTAGATCTAGATATGCCTAGGCCTTGGATATGTGATAAAATTATGCGAATAAGCACTTAGTCTGACTAAGCAGGCTACATAAATTATCATTTATTATGTAGTCCTAATTTTTTATCCACCGGGTAGGCTATGTTTGCGTACAACAGAACTAGTCTATCAGGAAATAACTATTTTAATAACAATGTCACGTGATTTTCATCACATGACGACCAATTAGGCCTAGAGATGAACTTTATAGAACTAAGGACGCCTTGTTGATTCCTTTGTGGTCGTCTAAGTTTGAGTGTCGTCAGGCTTCACTCAAACTTACAAAATGGTTTTACTGCAACTTGTTACGTTGTCCCTACTAATTTCCTTGGCTGCATGCAGATACGAACCAAACTGGAATTCATTAGACTCGAGGCCACTACCAGGTAGATCTAGTTTAAGTTTTAAATTAAGTTTTAATAATTAAAAATTAATTATAATATTTATTAATTAGGCCTATTATTATATAATTAATAATAATTTTTTTTAAATAGGCCTATAAATTTTATATAATAAATTATAATAGTTTATGTCTTTTTATGATAATGAATGATTATATTTAAATATATTATAATTATATAATATTTATTAGGCCTATATTTAGTAATTATTAAAATTATATTATTTAATTTATTATATAGGCCCCTAATTAGGGATATATATATTATATAGGCCCTACTATATAGTATATATATATAATATATATATATAATATATAGTAGTATAGATAAGTATAGGCCCTGCTGTATTATATATAGGCCTATAATATGCAATATACTATTACTAACTAATATAGGCCTAAGTATAGTATTTATTTAAGAATTAAGTATTAACTAAGTCTTACTAAGTAGGCCTTTAGGCCTACTCAATGCTTATTATTCTCTGATTATACTTACATTACTTACAGAATGGTATGATGAAGGAAAAGTAGGCATCTTCATTCATTGGGGAGTATTCTCTGTGCCAGCTTTTGGAAGTGAATGGTTTTGGTGGAGTTGGCAGGGGGAGAAAATCCCTGCATACACCATGTACATGCAACAGAACTTTCGACCTGATTTCACATATGCAGATTTTGCCCCTATGTTTCAAGCAGAGTTTTACAACCCATCACAGTGGGCAGATATTTTCCAGGCCTCCGGAGCTAAGTGAGCAATATAAGCATGTTTACATATTTATACATTTTCTTAAATTCATAAATTTCTTAAACTTCATATTTAGGATTTGTATAAGATAGCAGTAAGACAATATAGGATCACTGCAGGCTTTTATTTTGCTGCTATTATTAGTGAGTTCAGATCGAGGAATAGGGTGGTGATACTAGTAAAAACACAGATTTCATACAACGATGCATTTTTACAATTAGCAGTTTAACTTAAGCACCCAATCCCCACACCACCTCATTTCATTACAAATTAAAATGTATTTTATAGGTAACAGTAAATATTTATGTGTAGATTTCTTTAAAAAAAAACTGTTTACTAATCTAGCTACATAGTGTTGGTTTCAAAGCATCATGAAGGCTTTACCAATTGGCCGTCTAAGTATTCTTGGAACTGGAATGCAGGTGATGTTGGACCCCAGCGAGATCTTGTTGGTAAGTTCAAGGACTTGAAGTGTTTTTTTAATATATTTCAATAATATGCTGGAAATTTTAATTGTTTTTATTGATTTGATTAACTCATGTTTAGATTAACAGGAAAAAGATATTTAAAAAAAATGTTTATAGCATATTATTTATTTGGTATTGCAGGAGATCTGGCTGATGCTATTCGTAACAAAACAAACCTGAAATTTGGTCTGTACCATTCCATGTTTGAATGGTTTCATCCTCTGTATCTTCAAGATGAAGCCAATGGTTACAGAACCCAAGAATTTGTAAAAGTTAGTGTTTTTTTAAAAATTAAATACTTGGAAAATGAAGTTTTTTTAGAAGTAAATATCAGCAAGACTAACAGATGTAATTGATGAGGCATGTTTGTAAAAAATAACGTGTATATTTTAAGAATTAGGAAACACAAGTTGGAAATAAACATAAAAATGTCTAAAACAAAATCTTAATGACTTTCTTGTTTGTCAGACAAAAACAATGCCAGAACTGTATGAGCTGGTGAACTGGTATAAACCAGATCTTGTGTGGTCGGATGGAGAATGGATGGCAGCTGATGATTACTGGAACTCTACACAATTCATTGCCTGGCTATATAACGACAGGTAGGCATCACATACAATACACTATAGAAATGGCCAGTGAAAAAAAAAGCCCTGTCATAAAGTCCACAACGAAAAAAAATTTCAATAAGGCTATTGACAATAAGGCTTTCATTAATATGGTTGACAACAAAACAGCTGTAGTATATTGGCCAAATAACATTTTCTAGTAATAATAATTTTTAATTGATAGTTTATATTTTTTTTAAATGATGAAAATGTTTTTTTTTTAAAACATATTTAAACCGTAACATGGTTTTTATTTTCTTTAGCCCTGTGAAAGATACTGTTGTTGTGAATGACAGATGGGGTAACAACACAAGATGTGCCCATGGAGGTTTTTGGGATTGTTCAGACCATTATACTCCAGGTAATGATTGCTTCGGCAACCATTTAGTAATACTCACAACAGAGTACAAAACTTTTTGCAGTAAATTAATAGTTTTCAAACCTGGAAGTATAGACTACTGCTAAGGGATGCAGGAATGCAGAGCAGTTTTAATATATAAGTAAAAATATACAGATATGAATAATGAAATTCAATTTTTTTTTTAAAAACATGATACTTCATTAATAATTCATTAATAGTTTTTTTTTGCAATTGGTAATTCCTATTCAGAAGTTTTTTATTTGCTGCTTTTGGTACTAGGTACCTGTAAATTTAAACCCGACAGGATTATGGTTAGAGCTGCAACTAGAAGCATTTAGTGTAAAAATTATTATGGGATAATTGGGGAGCAAGGAGGCACAAACATCTTGTGTCTCAAGGCAGGGGCAGGGACTAAAAGCTTGATAGCTGTTACACCAACACAAAAGACACTTTTTGCATGAAATGCTAAGTAATGAAGTAAAAATATATACACACACATTCTTAATGTAATTTTTTTTTCACATCAGGAAAACTGATACCTCACAAATGGGAGAACTGCATGACTATTGATAAATATTCCTGGGGGTACAGGAAGAATACCAGGCTTTCTGATGTTTACACAATTGAAGAGTTATTGGAACAGTTGATCACTACAGTTAGGTAAGTGAGATGGTTTTTTTTCAAGTAATTCAGTTATGCTGGGTCTTTTTCAAGTAATTTAGTTACGCTTGTGCTATTTTTTTTCCACTTTCAGTAGTTTAGTAATGCTTCTCCTATCTGGGTTTATTATCCAGTAATTCAGTTATGTTTGTCCTATCTGGGTTTTTTTTTTACAGTAATTCAGTTATGCTTGTGCTATTTGGTTTTTTTTCCACTTCCAGTAATTCAGTTATGCTTGTCTTATCAGGGTTTTTTCAGTAATTCAGTTACGTTTGTTCTGTCTTTATCCAAGACTAACATTTGCTCATCAGTTTATTTTAGAAATATAATGGCTTAAACTAAGTGGTGCTTAAAGACATATGATATTCAAGTAACTACATTGTTCAGGCTGGATAATTGTTAAGATAATATTTTTTGTTTTAAATGTGACAGCAGAATCAATTGTTATGTAATTGACAACAGGTGAAGAAGCAATAATTACAGCTTTTGAGAGTAATTATTGTTGTGGTGAATGCACTGGCCAAGAGTTAATTTGTAAGCAAGAACATTCAACAGGGGAAATAATATAGATACATATACACACACAAGAATGCAAGTTCAAATCTATACAAAATGCACTTGAAAATTAAAAACTGTGTGTTACTAAAATTAAAAGAAACAAATATATCTCACTGTGCATTCTGAAGGAAAGGGGAGTTAAACACTAAGCACGTTTGTGTTGGTATACAACACCTGTACTGCATGACAAGTTCTGACTTAAATTAAGTCTAACAACTTGAAAACCATTTGATCTTTAAGCTTTCAAATAATAAATTTTAATCTCTATTCCATTTCTGTTTTTTAGTCTTGGTGGAAATATTCTCATCAATGTTGGCCCAACATCTTATGGAGAAATATCACCAATTTACGAGGAAAGATTGCGTCAGATTGGCTCATGGCTTAAAGTGAATGGAGAGGCTATTTATAAAACTAACATCTGGACCTATCAAAATGATTCCATTGCCAAAAATGTCTGGTAGGTTATGAGACTTAGTCCCATTTACAATTCTTTTGCTTTATTCTGTGTTTGATATTAATTTTTATTTGTTTCAAAATTTCTGATTGGAATTTTCAATGATTCTTTTGCAGGTATACTTCACGCGTGGAAGGTTCAGAGAGAATAGTATATGCCATCCTCTTAAACTGGCCAGAAAATTCCACCCTAACTTTAGGGTATCCAATAGCTTCAGCCAACACAATAGTTTCACTAGTCGGGTTCCAGGGTAAGCTGAGCTTCAAGCCAAACAGTGGAGGTGGTATAACAATCAGCATACCCAACATTCCTGCCAACATGATGCCATGTGACTGGGCGTGGGCTATCAGAATGGATGGACTAGCTAATCAGAAAGTTAAACTTAATTGGGATTCCTTTAGTAAAAATGCCCAATCAATTCGCATGAAAAAGTTTTGAAATTTTATTTTTTGTTTACATTTTTCTTGCATAGAAGTGGGTATAGTTAAGAAAAGTTTTGACCATATAAATAATGTCCTTACCTTTTAATTGTACACACCAATACTTCATGAAAAGCTGGTTTGAGTAATGTAATGTAATTTAAGCTGGTAAATCTTTTCTGAACATTTTAACCATATTTTAATATTTCTATGTTGTATTTTAACATACTAATAAATCCTTTAGACATAATTTGTTTTTCAACTGACTGTTTATTTTAGTTGGAAAATTGTGTTTATATTGACTGCAAACATTCCACTTAATTTTAATTTTACTATCTCCCTTTTCACCCCACCCTTACCTTTTGATTGACTTTTTAAATATATTTAGTATATTTTTAGAACATTTTAAAATTGAATAAAAACTACAACAAAATTATGTGTATTTAGAATTTTTTAATTATTAGCCAGGCTATTGCAAAATAGGGTTTAAAAAATTATTTGAAAGATCCTAGAAGCAGCATATAGAGCATAAACAAGTAGAATCAACAAATGACTAGATAACTATCTCCACAGCCAAGATCTAATGCTCCATGAAGTTTAGGAACAAATAGTTTGTAAAATCACAGAAACTCTGAACAAGAGCTAAAAAATGTTAAGCTCTTTGTTAGACTAAAAAATAATATACTCTGAGTTATTTCAAAACAATTGTCATTAAATAAAAAATGTACATTTATAAATAATTTCTATTATAAGGTCAAAATATTGACAGCTAGAAATGAAACACTGTTTGGAATTCGTAGTAACAATTGTTATAGAAAAGCATTAAAAAAATTGCTTTTATCACTTTAAGTACCAGAATATCTAATACACTGATAGACATTTTAGTACAAGAATACCTAATACAGTGAAAGGAAAACAGAATCTGTTCTTTAGTTCTGTGATGATGGTGAATTACAGGTGTAATTAAACCAAGTTAATTTTTAACAATACGAGAAACTACACTGCTGAACAATGATACAAAACAAACTTTAAATTAAAGCTTTGCAGTCACATTACAACTATTCTGTTTTTAAAAAATTAGAAACAGGAAATTATATTTCTTTAAAATGATAATTCTACTTTCAATAATAATTGTATCACGTGTAAATTAAGGGTGTAAAAATAATTTTAAAAATTCATTTTTTAAAATTAGAACAGTAATAGTAAAGCATTTTCAATATATTTCAATGTCCGTAAAACTATCTTTTTCTACCTAATATAATTTGTATGTTAAATAAACATTATACACATATTATTTTTGTGAGTTTTAAAATTAACCCTTAGCATAACTATTCAGCCTAATCATATTAAAAATAAAATTACAAATACAATTATATAAAATAAATATTGCAATTTAATAAAAACAATCAGATCACCTTGTTCAAATAAATGAGAATTTTTCAGATATGATTGAAATGGTTAGGGGCCGTCCATAAATTATGTCAAGTACCTGGGGTGGAGCAGGAGGGGGGGGGGTGGTAAAAAAGTATTTAAAAACTTAATATGAGTAACACAATATACCAATATGCGTCATACTGCATGTTTACCTGAGATGCCTTCTATGGTCTCTGAACATTCAAACTTCAGATTTCTCAAAGTTCAATTGAGTTAATGTAAATGGAAGTACAATTTATAAAAATGAACCAATAAAATGAATAAGAAACATGATTTACAAAACAGTAATTATTTCTTTGGGAGGATATGGAATGGTATTTTGAACATTGGGATTGGGGGGGGGGGGATCACTTGTAGCTATTACCATTGTAGGGTAAAGAAAAAATGTGCTAAAATTGCATGATGCTTTATGGATGGCTCCTTATTGTGCTTAAGGTAGTAAATAGCCTGAAGCTGTGCAGATCTGTATAAAATAATACCCACCATATTCATTAATTAATTGTAAACTTATGATACATATTGCACTTGTTTAAGATAAGCAGTGAAAAGTAAAGAAATTATAGAAACCAGTGAGTTCTTTCAAAGCCTTGAGCTGGGAAGAAATAAATTTTTTTTAATTCAGATGACATGAAGAGTGAAGACATTTTAGCTAATGAATACATTTAGAATGTACCATTTAAACGGAAAGTAATAATAACTTGAAGTTACATTATAAATGTAAATACATTTTTAGGCAAGTGTTTAATTTAATAAAATATAAAAATAAAATAATGGGTTGTAAAAGTTGAAATACTCACCTATGCTACATAAGATGGTTTTTGCCTGAAATTTAAGAAAGAATACATTATATATATATATATATATATATATATATATATATATATATATATATATATATATATATATATATATATATATATATATATATATATATATATATATATATATATATATATATATATATATATATATATATATATATATATATATATATATATATATATATATATATATATATATATATATATTACTGAAACAGGTTTCTGATTGAAATATTTCTAGGGTGTATATAGTATTAAAGAAACTATATTTAGGGTTAGTAAATCTGTGTACTTACCTCAAACTGGTCATCACTTTCAAACACGTAACATTTGAAATCTTTCGCCATATTGCAAGTGGTTTCACTAAAATTTAAATCATTTTCAAGTTCTATTTAATATGACTCAGGCTAATGTTATTCTTATTTTATCTTATATTATGAAAGTCTGTGAACACATTTGTTTGGCTGATGAGTTTAGAAGGTAAGAAGTGTTTCATTACAAATTAAAGTATTTATTTTAGTAACCGAATTGGATAGGAAATCATAGTATGGATGAAAAAAAAATTGAAAATTATAATGCAGACTTTCTTCTTCTTCTTCTTCGTTCTTAATTTTTAGTGTTGAAGGGGATCGAGATTTATCTGCCAGTGGGTTTGAACTCGAGACTGTTCGAATGTATCAACCATGAGCTTTTTGCTGACTCGACCACGCCTCCAACACAATTAAGCGTTACGTGTCAACTGGTTATGCGCCATTGAGGCCATTGACTCCGATTTCAGCCTGCTTTTCTTTTTGGATTTGCTTCCATAGCCTTTGTCCAACCAAGAACAAACTACAAGGCAGCAGTTGTTTGATTTTGGAGTTGTCTCTCCTAGAAGAGTGGCTGTCCCCAGCTAACGAGCCTCATCTGCCCGAGGGTTCGAACTCGAGACTTTTCGGTTTAGCAACCATGAGCTTTACCGACTCGACCACGCCGACCAAATGCAGACAAACTAGACAATAATTACAAAATTTTTTACATTTTACTGGTTGAAAGGTTTGAATCTTCTAGTTGTAGAATAAGCTATGCAATAAATACTAAATAAATTGTAAGATTTGTTTCGATTTAAAATAAGAGATTAATGCTTTAAAACCTACCCTGCTATGTATCCAAAGTATAAAAGCATATCAGTTCTTCTACCACATGCAGACACCTCAGTGTAGGAGTGATTCAGGATAAGCTGAAAGGTTTAAATTAGGAGTACAGAATTGGTTATTATCTCATGACATGTCATTTTTGAACTAGTTAGTGGGAGTTTTCTGTAAATTTGTGCACATTTTCTTAAATATTTACCTCATTGTCAGATAACCTTCTGACCTCCACACCAGTTTCAGTCGTTTGAATTTTAACAACCTGATTCAATGTAGAAAACAATTTAAGTTGTAGCAGGAAAAATATACCATTAAAACTATTGTAGGCCTACAGTGTTACAAGAAAAACCATGTTTTAAATAAAACAGCTTACTTCTTTTCTCTGGCCACTGGATTGTAGAACATTTTCTACAGCTTCGTGAATGCGATCTACTCTTCCATCCTTAAAACATAGGGTAATTTTGTTATATACAACAATTACATCAGAAAATAAATAAGACTGATGAATGGAAATAACAGAGGAGAAAACATTACTTTTAAATTGAAATGTGTGAGCTGTACTTAAAAAGTTTTTAAAATTATTACCAACTAAGAATAAAAAAACTTACCTCGCCTAGTGGACAGACACCTCTAAAAACAACTGTGTACTCTGATCTTTAATTTTAAAAATATGTAATTAAAATTTAAAATTAGTACAATTAAAACTGATTCTCTTAATGTTTTTATAAAATTTATTGTTATCTTTAATTTTTAAAAATATGTAATTAAAATTTAAAATTAGTACAATTAAAACTGATTCTCTTAATGTTTTTATAAAATTTATTGTTATCTTTAATTTTTAAAAATATGTAATTAAAATTTAAAATTAGTACAATTAAAACTGATTCTCTTAATGTTTTTATAAAATTTATTGTTAATGTTTTGTATGTTTTTTTGTTTGAAAGAATTATAATTCATTTGTTCTGTGAAACAATTTAAAAAAAAATGTATAAATAAATTTAAAGGACAAAACTATTTTTTATTTAAAAAACTATGTTTGGACTTACTTCCCATCTGGTCCGTGGACTGGAATTTCATCTTCCTCTTCTTCAGGCAACAAGGCATGCGCAGGTTTTTTATAACTAGCAGCCATGTTGACAGTTTTATCACGTGTCAATCCCACCTGAGCTAAGTCTATGTCAATCTGCCTTAAGAGGGCAGAGATGGGTCGGTAGATCTCACCGTGGGGTAGACGAGCCTACACAGAGATAAAACATAATTTTGGAAACCTTTAAGTGATAAAATTGTGTTCATTTAATAATTATGTGCAGCTCCATGTGTCCTTGGCACAGAACGGAATAGATAAAATAATATGTACTTAGTTTGCTATAAACACCATCTAGTTTTAATAGTCCAATATCTCAGGAAAAAAAAAACCGACTTAAGTGTAGTGAAAATTAAATTAAATTAAAGGGAAACAATTTATATCCCATGAATGCAAATTTTATATTGTTTTTCACTTTAAAAAAAATAATGTAACTATAAATGAAACACTGTCAAGGGATTAAATTTGCCCTTGCAAAATTAGCATTACAAAAATAAAATGTTTTTCATCTATCATATTAGAGTGAAACATCACCTTAATAAAACTGACATAGACTGGCATGCCTTTGTACATTTGAAACAAATCTCTGACCTAGGAAAAAAAAATTGAGTAAAAGTTAGTCACATTTTACTAACTGCTTATAATATAATATTATGCTCCTATATTTAATTCCATTGGCTCATACCTTTCCTCGTCTGGCTCCTCTTAAACTTTCTGTGTAGAGTTCATCCATAACATCTCCAATACAAACTTTACCCTGTCATAAAGAAAATTATAAAGCTTTTGTAAGTCCATCTTAAAATTTGGAACCAATTTTACTATCTCATTCATTCACCATCAACCATCTATATTTTATAGCCAGACAGCGCAAAATATTTTATAAGGCTTGATTTTAGTAATGCAATTATCTTTTATAATTAAGGTTTGAGCTTCTGCTGCTTGTTTTAGCTAATTTTAATTAAACAATAATTGTTTTTTTTTAAATTGCTGTAACTTAATTAAAAAAAAATTGGTATTAAATAAAACAATTAAAGAGAATCGAATGGACTCACATCCTCAGCAGCAACACTTTCTGGGTCTATATCTGTCACCACAAGGTGAGTGTTTATGTAGCTGTGAAACAATGGTTGATAGTTTATGACTTCCAGTCTAACAAAAACGCCATGAAAAAAAGTATCTCTACGGCAAACATTACTTTGTATAAACTGTAGCAGCATTAGCACAGTATTTTCATTGGTTATGAAAATGAGCTAAAACTGTAACCCTTTTTATACAATTTTGAATACATGTATCAATTTTTATATCATCCAGTATCTAATTAAACTTTTCTTTTGAGAAATAATTGAATACAATAGAGCAATATTATATAAAAGGAAGCTTCCTAATGCATTTAGTTTTAACAAGTGGAATCACATATGGTGTAGTACACTTTCATATAATCAACACAAAACAAAACCAGCTCAAAAATTTAAAAGGGAAAATAGAGAAACTTACTGTAAATGAACACCAAGGACATCACATGGGACAAATTCAAAATCACGATACTCCTAATTGAAAAAAAAAACACAATTTAGATTACAGTGATAGTTTTTTTTAAATGTTTAAATTAAATATCCGATGTAAATTTAACTTAAAAATAACAATACACTTTTATTTAAATGTATTGCTTAAAAATATTTTACAGTAAAATTTTAAAAATTAAGCTAGAAAGTAAAAACAAGCAGTTAAAATTATTAAATGTTTTTATAAGCTTTTAAAAAGTGGTCACTTAATTAAAAAATTTATTTTTTTTAACTTACAGACATTTCCCATGTATCATCTAGGAATGCAGAGTTTTTCAGGTACAGACTGAAAGGAATGTTCTGTGTCTCAGCCAGCAGAGAAAGGAAAATTTCTGCAAAATAAACATATCTTTTGAATTTACTGCATCTGTGAAAATGCTGTAAGATTATTGCACTAAAATTTGAGGCTGAAACCAAATAATCCCTATTTGGTCAAAAATTTGAATGAATATGCTATTTTGTTTTGCTAAAACAGACCAAAAAATGTACTTTGAAAAATTGGTAGGTAGCCCCCCCCCCCCCTACAATCAATAATTTTATTTCAAGTTGAAGAAATCAACTTAACATTACAAATTCTATGCACATGGTATTTCAGAGCCAATACAAGTTTTAATACCATCATGCCATTTGTGTATTTGAAGTCTATGATTTTTATCGTATTTTGATTTCAAACATACAACATATTTACCAGAAAGAATATCATTGTTGATTATTGAAGATCTATCATACCAAATCTGAAAGCATATTTTGAAATCAAATCAACTATTTAAATATATTGGATTAAATTTTTTAAATTAGATACAGTTAGACAGTATTAAAAGGATTTCATTTTAAAACATGTAATTCTTGTTGCTGATGTTACCTCAAGAAATGATTTATCCTCCCTGAGTTTGGTTAAAAGTGTGACAAGATACTTCTTCATGAGACAAGCCCTGATGAACAGACGCCCTTTACCTTGCTCTGTTGTTGTCTTTAAAAAAAGGTAATTTATAGAATTGTTTATTAAGAAATAAATTTATAATTATCATTAAAAATGTAGCTACATAAGTTATAATAACTAATCCTTTAGCTTCAAAATAAGGATTTAATTACTAAATCAAAAATTAACATGTACCAGCAGTGTCCTCAAAAGGAACACAAATTAATTAATTCCATTTTGTCTTCCAAGTTGTTTTGTTTAACATTATTGTTATATTTAATGTAAATATATATATAAAATGTCTAAAATAAATAAATTATAGTGGTGCAACATCTGTTAACAAAAGAAAAATCATGTAATTACCTTTTGGTTGTCTTTAACAGTCTTGATCAAATGATACAATCCTGGACCAGCTCTAGAAATAAATGTGTATTCATGTTCAATGCAATATTCATCCAACGCCAAAGAGTTTTTAATGGTACCTTATTTTTTCATATTCAAATTTGAACTGATAGTAAAATGTTATCATCATTCATGCTGACTACTAATAGGGATATTGGCCACAACCACATTTCACAAGCAGAATAAGTTAAATCTAGCCTATATTATTTTACATTAGAGATTTCTATCTGATGTACACATCATCTGAATAACTCCCCATAAAATTTTGGTCTGTAGGGTATCATGTTCATGAAGACTTTTTAACATTGTATCTAACACTTTCTTTTCCTGGTAACCTCTGAGTGAGTTAATAAAATATGTGACTAGTTAGTGTTTTTCTATCAAAGAAGCATTACAGTAAAGAAAACAGAATACAGAGTTGAATATGGAAGTGTTGTCAGGCTAAAGATTTCTCAGCTTGTTTTAAAGTTCACTTGATTTTGCTTATGCATCTTCTGATATTGTTTTCTGCTGCAATATATTTAGTTGCTACTACTCTTTATATGTGCATCAATCTATCTTTAACGTATTTGAATTAAAGGCTCTTCTTTATTATTAAAAGTAAGTACATATAATCCCATCCAACTGTTTTCTTAAGGTATTTTATGATGCCTTTAGAATTCTAACATTGGGGCTTGAGTTTGCTCTTCACCTGATTTAATTTAATTCCATCAAAAAGATGGTTGGTGAAAGAATACCTTGCTAGGTTATAATGTTCACACAAAAAATGTGTTGATTAATCTTTTAATATATTATATTATGAACAAATTCACATACCTCTCTCCATACTTGTAAACCAATGTCCAGAAATCAGATTTTGTAAACCAGTGTCCATGGTTAGCTGTTTTAAAAAAACGTGTAAAAATTCCCATGATTAAGAATATTGGGTTTTAAATCTCTACAGCATCTTTATTCCCAACTTCCCTTGTCTATTTTGAAAAAAAAGAGTTACTCACTGTTTAGTCCTAGACGAAAAATATCTTCAAGTGCTTTGCAAAATGGAAAAAGCTTTAAATTTGTGTCATAAATTTTACCTCCTTCATTATGAAGTTCCAATAATGTTGCTGTAAATTAAAAAATCTAATTAGAATTAATGGAATCATATTGTTTTGCAACATTTTACATCAACATAAGTAAACAAGTAATAAATTAATTTTCAAAGGTCTCAAAGGTTTATGAAACCATTACTGGCAGTAAAATGGGCTGTAGCTTGTTTAAAAAAGTTTTTAAAAGACTATTAAAAGTTTTATAAAATGAAATGGAAATATATATATATATATATATATATATATATATATATATATATATATATATATATATATATATATATATGTAACGAGTCTATTTGCTTGTAGTGCCAAATGTTAACGAGTGTATTTACTCATTCTACACAACATCGGCCACAATATAGATACTCGAAGATGCAGGTTTACCATTGATCCTTTTATTACATGAATCAAAAGAAATGCTTCACAATAATAGAATGAATCAACTGACCCCCAACCGTCCTCACTAGTCTTCACATAACCGAATGCACATGTCTATCGTCCCCATTAACACAATACGTCTACAACGTTCAGTAACCAACTTGATACTGCCACACTTCTCCTCCTACTCTCAGCTCTCGCCTTCCTATATATCCCTTCGTATTCGTAATCGTATTCGTACTCATATTCATACTCGTATTCGTACTCGTATTCTAATCGTTGCATCAGAATATTAATTGCGCAGCTTCTGTCATACAATCCGATTAATAAACCATCTGCACTGTTACGTCAGCCTGTGAACTGCGCAGCGGCTTTGTCGTATCGCTTACCAAACTACGCCTTGGCTTTGTCATCGTTATCAGCCCAACATCTGCACTATTGCATCAGACTGTAATACGTTGTTAACCATAGTATGGTAACTACCCTAGTTACATATATATATATATATATATATATATATATATATATCTGCTAATTTAAAGAGTGCTTTGATCTTCACTAACAGATAACAATTAGGCAAACTAACTGCAGTTTCAAAAATGTACAATTATTAAATTACTTGCCTTTTAATATTTTAAGCAATGGATGTGAAACTGACATTGTGGAATTAAGTGGTTCAGTTTTTGTTCCAGAAAACAGTGACAAATAGCTTCTGCACACAACTAAATCTGATGCAATGGTTTCAACATTCTCAAGTAGCTCTGGTGGAAAAAAAAAAGTTTTCATCAAGTAATAGAACTCTTAAATTTGTATAAAGAGTAGGTAGATAGCCTTTAGTAATACCTAAATCATAAACAAAAAAACCTGCCCAGACCCATAGGGTTGAAGTATTGTTATTGGTGTCCCCTGTTTACAAATGTATGGGCATTTGGGAATTTAACTTACTTTCCTAGTAATTCTAAAACAGCTAAATTATGTTTCTTAAACCTATTAGTATTACTATATTAACTATATTCAAAAGCAATACTAACACCAACTTTACTCATAATAATCTATTAACTAAATAAACAATGGACTTCTACTAGTCAAATGGTTCATGCGTAAATGATGTCACATTCCTATGGGAGAGGGGTGGTGGTGGAAGTGAAGGGAGGTTAATGTGACTTATGAATATTTAAAAATTATAGCCTGGGTGAAAATTTTTATGTAAATCATCGGCACATGGGAATTTGTATCCTGTGAAAGCTTCACAGATAGCGAAATTTACCCACATCAAGCATAATAATCAGTTGGGGGTAAAATGCGAGAATAAAATCATTAAAATGTCAAGTGACAGGCCATTTCTGCACCCTTGTCGCATTTTACCGCCTGATCATTTTGCATCATGCATTTTACCAAGACCCTGCCCTAAATAATGAAATATTTAAATAAACTATTACTTATGAATTAACTTATTAATTAATTACATAAAATTATCTTAATCTTATAATTTTATTAGTTATATGCAATAGAATAATAAAATAATAAAAATACATGTAGGCCAAATAAATAGACCTAAACTTAACATTTAGCCTAGGACTAGAAGTCTAGATTCTAGAATAGTCTGTTTTTATTTTAGTTTGTTTAGACTTTAGACTTTTTTAGTTTTATAAATATAGAGTTTAGAACTTTAGATTTAAATTTTTATTTTAGAGCCTGAGTCTAAATTTTAGAAGACTAACTCAGTGTAACAGTGTAAATTATAATCATTAATGTTGTATAAATCATTCTGTAGATTATTGTGTAAAAATAATCATGGTTTTACTCGCTCTAACTAGATCTAGAATCTAGATCTAGATCTAATTTAAGTAACCAGTGGCTAATCCTACTTGCTGGATGAGACAGCTGGACAGCTTGTTTATGAAATAAAAATAAATAATAAAATCAAGGGAAGTCACTCTAATTGTTTTTAAAACTTATCTAAAAATGCATGCTTAATATCTTAAATTAATTCCCCTTTTTATGGACCTAAACTAGTGACGGTTGTTTTATCTGTTTTGTTCAGGAAATTACTTACAAGAATACACTACCTCATAACCGCCTTATCGAGTCCTCATCTTCAAACGGCCCACAGTATTTCTTTTAGAATTTTTTTCTCTGGGTGAGGGGGGGGGGGCACTTGAAACGAAACTATCGATTGGGGTGGGGCGGACAAAAATTTTTGGAGGGGCGGACACTGGTAAAAATGTATATTTTTAATGTAAATTATACTTCTTTGGGGAGGGGGGGGGGGTAGACGAGCTTCGAGGGTAGGGGTGGGGGAGGGGTTTGGGGTTTGCCCCCTCCAGATAAGATGCCTGAAGAAAAGTCTGCAAACTCGCCTCCTCTTTCTCATAGAACATCCCATCACTCCCACACTGTGAGAGATAAATTAGCCTAATTTCTGTGTGCTCTAATGGTTTTGGTAAGATTGCCCATGTATGACGTGACGTCAGTGATGCCCCGTTTTTTTTTTTAAAAAAAGATGCTTATCTCGATCTCAATCGTCAGATAAAAACAGACCACATCCCTAAATGACACCACCCCTCAAAAATGCTTTTTTCCCCAAACGATTTAGCATAGTGAGCCTCATTATTCCCTGGGTTGGCCGAAATATTAATCATTGTCGATTACACTTTACAAAAAATAAGCTTCTAATATAACTTTTTAATTGCAAAATTGGGTCGACACTATATATATATATATATATATATATATATATATATATATATATATATATATATATATATATATATATATATATATATATATATATATATATATATATATATATATATATATATATATATATATGTATATATATATATATATATATATATATATATATATATATATATATATATATATATATATATATATATATATATATATATATATATATATATATAACCCCCTTCCCCCCCCTTTTTTTTTCATCTGAAATCGTCGCAAAATACCCCCCCCCCCCACACACACACACGACCATATCAAACCAGATATCTATTTAGTATAGTTAAACTTACAACATTCAATCAAATCTTTAAAAAGAAACGAAATTATATACTGACACACTACACTTTATTTGAAATTCAAAAAGATTTCATTTAGGTTTTGAAAAAGCTACAGTATTGCGACCAGAAGCTCCAAATGGGATATGAAAAAATAAATTATATTCGCTACATTACCAAATTATGCGTATTCGTAGTTAAGAAATATACGTGGCTTCACAGTCTGGTGAGTTATTTTCATTTCTCTGCATCGTTTTTTATCAGCAAAATAAATACCGTTTAGGACGAAGCCCTAATACTAATAGCGAGTAACTAAGTGAAAAGAGACCATCGCTATAGTGGCGTAACAAAGTTTTCCTGGGGTGGGGTAGGGCGAAGACTAATGAAAGTATATATTTTCTATACAAATTCGATTTCGTTGGGGTGGGGGGAAATGGGGAATACCGCACACTGCCTAAAAGAAACAGTGTTGGAAATTAAAGACTTAACTAAAGCAGGCTTTTGCGGAAAAAGAAGCTGCAGATATCAAAATCAGGAGGAATAAATGTGTTCTTAGTTTGACGTCATAATTCTGCATTTTAAAAGAGAAACGTTCTAAACTAAATAATTGCCTTTATTCCGAATTTTTAAAAGGCTGTAACTTCTAGTCTTAAAGAAATACAATAACAACATACTTTAAGATCATATTACTTCAGAGTTTCTTCCAGGCATCTTTTGGGGGTGGGGGCGAAGAAAGTCTACCGTCCCACCCCCACCCCCACCCCCCAAACGAAATGGAATTTATATAGAAAATATATACTTTTAACAGTGTCCGCCCCCCGCCCCCCCGGAAATTTTAGTCCGCCCCCCCCCCCCCAAATAAATAAATTTCAAACTAACTTAAAAATTAAAAATAAAATATCGACAGTGAAACCAAAAACTAATAAAGGCACTGCAGTGCAAGTGCAATATATCAAACTGTAATTGAAGGGAGGCCACTGGGTCTTAATAAACCAATTAGAATTGTGGGTTATCGTTCTTAAGACAAATTTGTAAAGTCGAGTGTATAGTGTACACATGTATAATATGTTTGTTAAAGTATATCTTATTATTTATTATTTCTTGTCTGATCTCTCTAACTATTAATTATTGTATAAAAGTAGTCAAACAAATAGAATATTCAAATCCCCCCCCCCCCCAAAAAAAAAATGTCATTTGTTTGAAATTATGTTGTTAAATAAAATTATAAAAAGATGTTATGAAGTATCGCCACATCATCATAAAGCAGAGGTCGGCAACCTGCGGCTCGCGAGCCGCATGCGGCTCTCTTGATATCAAGATGCGGCTCTCCAGCTCCTTAAACAAATACTAATAATCTTAATAAAAAAATAAAAAAATTGGAATAAAAAAAATGTTAGTGGCTCTTTAAATCCAGGGAAATTTTGAAAATTTTAACTTTTGGCTCTTCCGCTTCAAAAGGTTGCCGACCCCTGGAATATCACAATCGGCAACCTTTTAAGACGGAAGAGCGAATGCATTTTAAGGATTTAAAAAAAATGTAATTAGACGCTTTGTATTAGATCTATGTATAAGTAAGACATCTTAATAGAATGAAAGTAGGCTTCAAATAAGAAAGAAGTATTACTATTGTAAATCTGTATCAGTCCTCACAAGCCGATGATGAAAACTGTAATACTAAAGCGAACATGCAAGGCAGAATGAGGCTGTAAATTACATGTCTGAGAAGGAAAAAAGGAGAGAGAAAAAAAAAGGAAGAGCCAAAGTTACAATTTACAAAATTTTCTTGTTTTTAAAGAGCCAATAACATTTTTATTTCAATATTTGATGTTTGATTGGGGTTAGGTAAATAAATTTTATTTGTTATTTAAATGAAATAGCTTTAAATATGAAATAATATTAATTAATATAAAAACATAGACATGTTTCGCCAGAATAATACAATCAGTAATCAAATAATATTTTTATAGGACTATCCCAATTGACTTGAGAAGCTGTTGATTTTTTTCTTTTTTACGGACAACATCGGCTAAGAAGGTGTCTCCCATTAGCCAGGCAAATTCAATTGACAGCAACTTATAATATTTATCTACACGCATAAATTAGTCAATCAATCATTTGTCCATGATAGGCCATGTCTGTCTGTAACGCGCCGAATAATTTCAGTCACATTATTATCTATCAAAATGATGCCGATGTCAATAATGTCATCTACCGTTAATGTTTTTTCAGTGTTACCAATAATTGCATTTTTGTCAACAACCATGAAACTTCCATTTCTGCTTTTATTCATCTTACCAACCCCATCGATAGCTGGCGACAACAACACATCTAAGAGAGAAAACATCAAAATCAAACAACTGCACGAATAGTCTCCCATATACATAAAATATTTGATTAAAGGAATCTACTTACATTAAAATAACTTTACTAAAATAATGTTTACAACAAATTAATGTATCAATGTACCTAAAATTAATTTTTTCTTATGTTTATTAAATAAAATATTGTATAAAAAATACCACTGACAAAAAGTGTGTAAACACATTGTAATATTAAATAAAACAATTTAAAATGGCTAGACATATGAGCAGTTTAACCTTTGTCATACTTTCATATTCCGATTTTTTAAAAGAATCAAACGATGAGATTTTAAGGGTATGCCAACATCATGTGTTATTTTTTTATATCTTAAAAATATAAGTTATGTTATAAAAAATAAATAAAAAAAAATAAAATAAAATAAAGTTATTTTTTTATAACACGCGTTTCTTTATAAAAGCTGCCTATGACATAAAGTCACGTTTTCACCACTTGCCGGCCTACTGTTTCCTTTCTATAATAACGGATGTCCATTAGTGTTGGATGGTTTCTGTAGCTGGCCATCGTGAAGTCTTGCTTTTTTTTGGTGCCTATTTAATAAACTGATTTCAATGATTAATTTCCAGTTAGCTTTTGTTTTGAAGATTTTGTAGACGGTTGCAGACCTACTTAAAACTTTTTTGTTCATTTCCGCCTTCGTTTTTATGCTCGATTCAATGTCTATAAGTAGCTCTACATATACCTACATATACATATTCAGATAAGGCTGCGTTCTAGAATAGTCATGCACGTTTTCTTATGAATTGAGTTTTATTTATTTAGATTCGATACATTTCATTTTAAACTTCTGTTTTTGCTGACGACTGTCTTTTAAAAAACGGTTGCATTCTATCATCTTCGTGTAGTTTGAAATTATGTTTTTTTTTTAAAAATAGAATTGATAATTTACTTTTAAACTCCTTTTTAACTTAAAAACTTCTGTTTTTATGGCGTTTGTCATTAAAAAAATTAAACTAGTGCTTTGAGTATAGGTGTATGTATGTGTATTCCTGGAAACACGATCAATTGTGTGTTATGATAATTTTCGTATAGCATACGGGCATGATGTATTCAATAACAATAATTTTGTTTCCCAGGTCTTGAAGGTGTATGTTAAAAAAACATATCTATCTATCGTAGCACATAATGAAACACCTGTTACGTGTTAATCATCTGTTCTGTGCCGCCATACGCCCTGTGGTTACACTGTCGACACGGATACGTTTGCTCATTAAGCCATTAACAGCACGAAGAGCATTCAGTTTAAAAACACTGTTGTCAACCATTGTTACACTTCTCTTGTAACAAAAAAAATCTTATTATTTATTAAACTAATTGTATGATTGTTATTAAATGTTTATATATATATATATATATATATATATATATATATATATATATATATATATATATATATATATATATATATATATATGCCTGTTCTTAGCTATTAAATTAAGTGAGAGGGTAACCGAGCTTTTCGTATTATACAGTTCATCTCACTTCTCATCAGCATTC